AAGACTTCAGTTTCTTTTCATGTATGAGTTTTGTGACCTTCACTTTCAAAGCTGCATCTTCTCAAAATAATTAATCCATTTAAACAGCACTTTAAGAAAACGGAATTCTAAATAAACAGATATGAAGTATAACTGTACAGCATGGAAAACTTTACATTGCAACACACTGTTATAGAAGAGTTTCATGCGGATTCTATGTGAATCAGCTCCTACAATTGCATAATTGAATAATTGACTTCATACAACTGAACTCTACAACAAAATAGCAATTTTGACATCTTTACTAAATTACACAGTAGAGACAGAGGTGTAAAAAAGAATCTGCATTTTCCATCATTATCTCAATAGTAGAAGCTGTATAGCTAATGGCTACAATTCAGAGGCAATTTGTAATATCATTAATTAATTAAATGAATTGGATTATTTACTGAATAACATTTACAGGCCTAAAATCAGATATGGATAAGACTACTATAGTAAGTCACTTGCTAAGAAATAAATAAAAGTAACTAGAATCATTCAATCATAAATTATGGTAGACAGTACAACTTTTTAGCATGTTTACAGTGTTTCAAGCATGAATCGGCACATAAATCTCTGCACACAGTATACAGACACAATATACTGTAACTGTAAGGAAGAATTTAAAGTGAACAGTTTAATTCAAAATGTCATCAACAGCTTTTTACCATATATGTACGGTGTGCTTTTTCCATTAGTATTCAAAGAAAAAGGGAAAACTTGGGGTAGCATAGTGAGCACAGTGGAGCACTGAGCTTTTCCAGCACTGAGTCCTGGGCTCTATTCTTGGGGTGCTATCTGAGTGGAGTTTGCATGTTCTCCCCATATCCATGAGGGTTTTCACTGGGTGCTCTGGTTTCTTCCCATAGTCCAAAGACACACGTTATTTGGCTTCTGGGAAAACTAATTCTGGTGTGAGTGTGTGCATGTTTGTGTCTGCCCTGTGAGGAACTGACGCCCCCATCCAGGGTGTATCCTGCTTTGAGCCCACTGCTTGCTGAGATATAGTCCCATCTCAGATCCTATATCACCATAAAATTGGATGAAGCAGTTAAAAAAATGAATGGTTAGATGGAACAAATAGGAACAGGAAAGCAATTATGAAATGATCATCATTGCAAGGGGCAAAAAGACAGACAGTGTCCATAACATTTTGTTACTGACTGCTAACTGCGGGGCATCAAGATAGGCAGACCAAAAAGAAACCACAGACCCTTTCTATAAAAAGAAAGAGAAGGTGTCAGTCCTGAACCACCAGATGTTAACGGTAGCAATAGAAGAACAGATTTCAGATAAGACTTTTCATCAAATAATTTGCCTCCAGAATTGAGGTCAGATGTAACCATGGGACCTCAGTGTTTATCCAGAACAGCCTCTGAAACTTGTTTCACAGCTTCTTGTCAGTAGGAATTGAAAGGCTGCATTTCAAAGGAGGAACAAAAAACGTTAAGCCACTGGGGGTGGAAATAAAAACAGCTGAGTTCAGCTTCAAACACGTTCAGTTATGAATCTGGGTTATTTCTTCACAGCCTAGCACAAGTCACAGTAATTTCATTCATGTAAGAGTGTTCCCCAGTGCTGACACTTATTGCAATATGCTTTATGATCCCCCTGATCCTAAGAATGGGTCTATATTTCCAAATGGGCTGGGTTTGCCTGCAAACCACTAGTCACTGAAGTTGAGACTGCTGTTGGTACCCAGTGATCCCACTTCAGCCCCTACAGCTGCTGCTGATCTACAATAGCCAAAATGAACTCCCTTAGACTCTCTGCTGTCAACAGTCTACTTGGGACTAAATGAATGAAGGGGTTACAAACAAGCTAAAAAGAACTACCAGTTTGCAAAGGCCTCTGTTCTCTTAACATCAGTATGAGCAAGCATATTCCTTCTCCTGGCAGGACAACATGCACATACAGTAATAAAGAAATAGTCCAGCTGTATGCATTGAATATATACCCTTCTCTGCTGACAAAGCATCTGCACCAAATTTCAAAAGCTGTATTTCCACCACACCTCTCATGACCAGTAACCAGGTTAAAGCAAGCAAGAATCAGTGGGCTCTGCAGTTCAGCTCTTTGCTTTTAACACACTCCTATAATACTGCACTTAAAAGAGATGGACACCACTTGTCCAGGCATAAAGATCCTTATAACCCAGGTCACCACCCTCTACTTCCAGAAACACTGGTCAACAGACCTCCACATCCATCTCTGGTTGTGGTGATGAGAGCCTCTCTTCCCACATCTCTGGAAACGTCTGGAATGTTTTTGTCCAATGGGTCATACCCTCATTTTTGGACTGGCTTCTCTTCACAAAAGGCTTGACCTCGGTTCTCTTCAGTCTTTGCTGCTTCACCTGCTCTCAGGTAGCCTTCAGGTCTCCTATGGTTTCATTTAGTTGAGTCTTGAACTCACTGAGCTGTACAGTATCTCTCTTTTGAGTCTCAGATGCTTCTTTGTCCTTTATCTGTTAGTGTGCTTTACTCAGCTGCTTTTCCAATAAAGTCAACTCCTTCCTCTGTTTCTCAGCTTCCAGTTTGGACATTTCTAACTGGCTCTGAAGCTCGGCCATCGTTGCGCACCACACCTGCTCCGCTTGTTGCGGTTTCATGAAGAACTTTCAGGGCTTCCTCTTTTCCAGTCTTGTTCTCCATCTAACGCTGCTGTCGTGTGCTATCATTCTCTGGAGATGTGCTTCGCTCAGACTGTAGCTGTAACGAAGCATTCTTTCAGGACCCTGTGTGGACAACACAATCCGAGGAGGAGTGAGGAAAACACATGGAAAAAGGCATGCAAGGGGCTGGAGGAAAACAGGGGGCGTGTCCATGGTGCGCTGGTGTTCTGGGGAGGTGTGGCCGAGGAAAACAGTCCAAAAGAGTCCGAGGCAAATCCATGAGAGGCAATAGTCCAAGACCGGGTGATCCATCCTGACGAAGACGAACAAAGTTAAAAGCCAGAGCGGGATCCGGAGGAGGGACGGGGGAATAAAAGGGGGGTCACGGGACTAGATGCTCCCTAATCCCGGACTCAGAAGGTCAGGACGCCGTGATGAAGCCTGTGCTGTTGAGTCGCTCCTGGACTCGCGGATAGGTGGGCTTCCAAGCGTCCATCTTCCAAAGCTGAGCCCAGATTGGCAGGAATGCGTGGCTTTTATAGGACAGGGGGCAGGAACCAAAAGCAGGTGCAGGAGATCAGTTGAAAATAAGGAAGGGCTGGAGTGTCCTTAAGAGGAGGGGTTTACGAGCATGACAGTAGCTCATTATTTAGTTGTGAAGCCTGTTGCACAGCCTTCTTTAGGCTGCCATTAGGCTGCCACTGACTATCTCCACAATTATCTTCAGCAACATTTTTCACAACTGGAAAATTATTATTATTTTTACCTCAATAAATGCAGCATTATATTTCACATGTAGCATAAATTGAACTTTGGAAAAACTGGTCATTAGTAAAAGAAACGCAATTAAGTAAGAATTCTCTATTTAACATCCAAAATAATTCTAAACAACGTTGTGAATCCGTGACTCCAACATCTTTGTAATGTCACGTATGATAATTATTATAAATGTATCATTTGAATAAGAAACCTTGTTTAATTTTGTGCATTATAAAACTAATTTGTGTTAATTCAGTTTCTTTTTACTTGTATCCACAGGCTTAATTTAGAAAAGGTTATCTTATGTGCTGTATGTAAGAAATGCTCACAGTAAAAAAAAAGCTTAACAAATACATTTTTTTTCACTGATAATACAAAATTCGGTAATGAAAAAAGTAGATGTCAAGATGCTGTCATTCTCCACCATTCCTTTTATTTGTGAAGTGTTCATTTAGTCAAGAGGAGCACACAGAATTGCAGAAAAATCCCACAGTGTCACTCTTGAACTTGGTGAACTTCAGAACAAAACTGAAGTGTCAAAGATGAAAGACGACTTTTGCTAGGAACAGAGAGAATCTTGGTGTAAAAGCTGAACCAATTTCTGGATTACATCCAGTCTCTAACTTAGACGGTATTCATAGTTTTTGAAGAAAACAAGGAAACACTGCAATCTTTATTTTATTAAAGACTTATTTTTTTCTCAATTAAAGTGACTATTATATTACTGTACACAAGTACATTTCTGAGTATAATTACAAGTTTGTTAAGAAAAAAAAACAAAACTCAAAGCAATGTGTTTCCTCTTTGCAACCCTTTACTAAATCTGTTTGCTATTTCATTCATAATACACCAGAGACAAGCGGCATGTTTTTCTGTTCTGAAAAAGTTCCTATTTGTATTTCCAGGTTTTAATTTGTCATAGACCTGCATATCATATTATATTGTGTTTTATGATTTCCAGATTTACTTTTTAGTAAATCCATTAAAAGCCGTAAGGTAAATTTGCTTTATACTGAAAGTGTGTGTTAATAGGGACTAAAAACCAGAGTAATATCCAGACAAACACAAATTGCTGTGTGAGATAATTGAAGAACTTCCATATTTTATTATTGTTTACTGGTGGCTTTGATCTCATGAAAAACAAGGTGTATTATAAGTAGGATACCAAGGTAAAATATATGTAATTCTTTTCAATTGCTGAAAGAATTCTGAAAAACGATAAATAAGTGTGTTTTTTTAAAAATAATGATTCTTTGTATGTTCTTTTTGAAGTGGAATGAAAGGAACCTTGGAAAACCACAAAATGAACAAATTCTAAGAGACTGATACACCATTCACCATTGTCCATTAAGATACGTTTGCAAACATTTTTTCAATTAAAGTGTAATAGAAAAATAAAACACACTAAATTATTTCAATGAGACAACTCCCAGCTCCTTCCAGTCAGGCATTTCTTAGAGAAAGGGTCATGATAGGACAACTACTTCATCAATGGCTTTTGTCTTTTCCCACAAAAAAAGAACAAGTTTGCAAATTAAATATCAAGGGAATTTCACAAAAAGTGTGACACACACTGATATTTTGCAAGGAGATATTACTAACTGACCTGGTACAGCTATCTTTCCAGCTGATGGGTGGTTCATTTCCATAATGAGATCATTGTGGATAACCTGCAAAGAAGGACATAAAATGTGATATAAAAGAAAATACTTTCATTCAAAGTTTCCATGAAAGACCTTCAGAGTCTTATTAACTTTGATTATTTTAGCTTTGCCGAAACTGAGAAAGTGTTTATAACAATGAGCAGGAAGGATGGGTGAAGCAGGAGAAATAACACTTTTGGCCACTCCACCCCAGAGACTAACAACATCTGTCTCATGCTTCCCATAAAAACTACAGATTCAAGGTCACCTTGTGTTCATGTTACCATTACAGTTTTATGATGCCATATTACATGATGATTTAAATATCACATCCCAGCAAAGACTTTACTGTTAAATAGCATAGAGAAAGTTTCCAATTGCTGCTGATTTGTGTAAAAGTACCAGAAAGCATATTTCATCTTATTGACTGAGATTAAAGTGCTGTTCAAATTAAAGTTTAATTCCTGCCAGAGAGGGGGAGAAAGGGGTCCAGCAGCCTGTAAATGAATGGAAAGATTAAAAATACAAAGTTTAGTTAAAGTTAAGAGCTGAGGAATTCCATAAACCGACTTGAAGGGAATTTTTGGTGTGGTGTCTCTCTGGTATAGAAGGATTTGCATATCTCTGCAAGGACACAGACAGAAATCAGCGGTCCTGGAATTTGTCATCCAGACTTCCATCTCTTTAGCCCCATCTCAACCCATTGTCACTTTTGCTTAACACCGCCTCATCCCACACTTTATGCCTCATATGTCTGCTCCCTCCTTCTCTTCTAGATGAGGCTCTATCTTTTCACCTTCCAGTATATAAAAAACACGACTTGCTCCTATGCTTCTGATAAACAGTATACCACAAATGTCTTAAATAAATTAACTTTTACATTCACTTTATGAAGAGTAAGAATAAAATTGGACGTCTCTGTACATACTGTAGGCGGCACAGTAGTGTCGTGATTAGCTTTGCTGTCTTGTAGTACTGGAGCTCTGAGTTCAATTTCTGGGGTGTTATCTATGTGGAGTACATTCTTTCCAATCAGTTAATTTATTTTATTAAAATATACAATTCATAACTTATGAAGAGTTTATACAGCCATGTTTGCGTGGGTGTTCCGGTTTCCTCTCACAGTCCAAAGCTGTGTAGGTTAATTGGCTTCTGGGAAAATAGACTGGTGAGTGTATGTGTGTCTGTGTCTGTGCCCGTGTGTTTACCCTGTGCTGGATTGGAGTCCCAAACAGGCTGGACCCTGTCTTACGCCTGCAGCTTGCTGGGATAGGCTCCAGCTCCACTGTGACCCTTCATTGGATAGAATTGGTTAGATGATAACCATACATGTGGTGCATGAGTACATCAGATAAAAAAACTACAAGAAATTAATTTGTATCTGATTAATTTGACACAAATTAATCCTATATCCAGGAGGTCAACAGCATACACTAGAATACTTTGTGAGTACTTATGAAAGTTTTGTGTGCTGACAATACGGAGCAGTATGGTGGCTCTGTGGCTAAGGATCTGCACGTGTGGCTGGAAGGTTGTCGGTTCGTATCTTACAGCTGGCAGAGGAATCCTACTCTGTTGGGCCCCTGAGCAAGGCCCTTAACCCCCACTGCTCCAGGGGTGCTATATAAATGGCTGACCCTGCTCTCTGACCCCAAGCTTCTCTCCCTGTCTGTGTGCCTCATGGAGAACAAGTTGGGGTATGTGAAAAGACAAATCCCTAATTCCTAATACAAGAAAATGTATTTGGCCAATAAAGTGATTTTATATTCACTACTGTTTGAGAATAAATTATCACTGTGAAATCTAATAAAAAATGTTTTTCTATTTTTGTCTTTTTCTTTTTGTTGCTGCTCTTCTTATTGTTGTTCTTTCACTTTTATCTGTGCTAAGGTCCTTTGACACACTGTAGGCACTGGCTTTCTATTACTAATATATTACTAAGAATATCCCTTCAGTCCACACACATTTCTTTGCCAGACCAGGAAAGAAACACCCACTAATAATTAATATTAATAAAACTGAACATTCCTCTTGGAACATAACTGCTTTACTGCTTAAATCTATGGCAACAACGTGTCAAAAACCCACAGGCACAATCCAAAGCTGAAGCAAATCACAGACGCAAGAAGCATGACACCAGTACCTTAGCACATCTCAATGTACAACACGTGGTGAGATCAGAGCCAATTCATGTGACATGGAGAAAAAACTATTTCATTTTCATTTCCTTAAATGAACTAGAGAACCCTTACTTCCATCAGACACATTAAAATGGCCAATTAGTGCAAATGTGCAAATGATATCTGAAGCACTATTTCATTGAACTGAATTCATTCTTTTCAATTTCTCATCAAAACCTCAGAAAAGTTAAGGTGAACTCTCTGTAAGCTTTTAATCCTACTTACAATTGCTAACAGAGAACAATAAAGGAAATGTAACCACTATATTTGATATACAAATATCCCCTTAGATACAGTGCATGCCAAAAACCAGAATCTGAACCAGAACAAATAATTTAATTTTCAGAGAAAGGATCCTGGAAAAAAATATTGGTTCTGGTCAAGGAGGTCACATACTGTACAGTATCTGATCATTATTAACAATATAAATTTATTAATAATAAATAATAATTTCAGACTTCTTGTATTTTGTTCAGGGTCTAATGTTCTCCTCCGGTTTTCATAGCCTTCTATTCTGATTAAAACACCTATTTATGAGACATGATGTTTCAGATGTCAATAACTTTGCGAACAAATGACACAGAGCCTTTAAATTAAACCTCAGGCATTTTGAAGATCACGATTCGTGAAAATTTTCACAAATTTTATTTAAACAACATATAGTACCTGGTTGCATTTTTAGAAACCTTAGTTTGAATAAAGTAAATCCCAGACGTATGCAAGTTCATGAAGCTACTGTTAGTACGTTAAATACCTGACCATATAAAGTAGAATAACACAAACCCATTGGGTTCAACCTCTCTTTAATTAGTGAAACTCTTTCTGTATTTTCTGTTTTTACTCAGATAAGAATAAACTGCATATGAAATTCTTTTGACAGGAGGAAAGATTATCTGTGCCCAGTAGCTTTATTACCACAGCACAGTATGCTTTATTTTTTATGCATCAGTTGAAGCATTTTAAAAATGTGTAATAATGTACAGCACGATGGGCAACTGATTGTTTAAATTTTTTAAAGAAAACAAAAAATAAGAAACAATAATGTACCCCTAATAATCTTTGTCGAACTGAGTAATGTTGTTTTTATAAAATACCCTCACTCTATTTTCTCTTTAATTTAATAATAAAAAGACTGTAATACACAGTTTAAAATTAATAAAGGTGTAATCAACTTAAATTCTGTAATTGGAAAAAAATATTTCCATCAACATTAACCAGGATTCAAAACCAGCCATTTTCTGGCGACAGCTCAAATGCTCTACACGCCAAGTTAAGCTTTCAGTGCTCCACCTGGTGGTTTTACAAAGTAGTTCACTCCAACAAATGAATATTTTTTTAAAACGTGCAGCACGCGCACTGCAATATACTGCATTATCCGCCGTGCATTCTGAATGGCTGGATATATATGATTTTATTTCTACTACTTTACTAGTCATGGTGAACAGACCAGTACATTTTCATATGGGCTTTGCAATTTTTTTTTCATGTTTCTGCCTCGACATGCTCATGAACTGCTCCTGTCCAGCATTCAGCCTGAAATGATTACAGAAGCCGAATGTGAAGAAAAGCAGTATCCATTTCAAGTGTATAATCAATCTACTTCTCAATGACCCCTCCTTTCAAGCAGCTCTACTGAGAATATAAAATATTAAAGAAGATAGCCAGAGAAGACTATAATAACTATTTTTTCACTGTTACAAGTGTTTAGTGGAGACAGTAACACACGTAATTGCTTTCACACTGACACACTGCTTTCTGAGCTGAGGGACCTCCAAACCAAATACAAGCAAGGGTCACTTATTCCCAACACTACCATTAGTTGTGCCATCCAAATGAACATTCATGTCTAGTAATATGCAGTATGTAATAGAAAATGACCCTGGAATGTGAACACATTGTAGTAATATTAAATAGAATTGTGTAATAATATACTGTGTTGCAATAACAGAGAAAAGATCATGCTAAAATAACAAAAAATTTACCAAACCCTGCCTCTTCTCTATTTAAAAAGGTTTTCTTGTTGCACAATGATCAAGTCAATGTAAAGGAAAATACATGTAAATCAACACACACAAATGGATCACATACATTAACATTTGGCCATTTAAGGCATTTCCAAACCAAACACTGCTTTCATCACTATTTGAGTTCTTCAAAAGTGGTAAACCGCCAAACACACATGCATGCAAGTGCCCAAGACAGTGTTTTCTGGATCTTTCAAGAGGGTATCTGTGTTAATGGCTCAGCTTTGACAGCAACACTCCTCATTTATATTATCTTCAAAACACTTCATCCTGTTTCTTTTTAGAAAGATTTTTCACTTTATTGCATGTTATGTGTGGCATTACATTTCACTTCATGTAATTTAAAACACAGGGCTCCAGTTACAGTATATGTATTTCTCAATTTTAGCAAGTGCATGGGTGATGTATGCAGGGGCTGTGGACTTTATAGATCCATATGTTACTTTGGCACTAGCTTTATTCTCATTATGGCAACTAGACAGAACCATTTACAGTATGTTCCCAACACCACGACTGCTAACGATACTTGGTCTGTATTGAAACAAATCTCATGGCAACAGGAGCTAACACTGAGCTCCACATGCCCAACCCTTTCAAAGCTTTAGAGCTTTTATTGAAGCGTAAATGCTATGAGTTTTTAAGATACAGATCTTCAATAATAATAAAAACAATGAATAAACTAACATGCAGAGAACATAAATCCATAATCCATCAATCTTTTTGAGTCACTCGATACCACTACTCTATGAAATTGAGGAACTGATGAATCTTTGCACTTAGGACACCTGTGACATGAACATTTTCAGCGATTTAGACATGACAG